CACACACACACACACACACACACACACACACACACACACACACACACCCATACATACACAAAACTCTTAACTGCAATGGCCAGAAAGCCCCCAAGATATGCCTCTCCCTACCCAGCACTAGAGTATACTCGGGCTTGTATTTTTTATGACATGACTGTTTTTCTTAAGGGTTCTTGGGATTGAACTCAGGTCTCTATACCCAGGTGAGAAGTGCTTTACTGACTGCCCTGTCTTCCCAGCCTCTTTCAGTTTTTAAAACACAGAAATCCTTACATGCCTCAGTTATAAGAGTGACAGAAAAGTAATGATCTTGCTAAAGTGTGCGGGAAAGTGGAATCAATGTCCAGAAACACCATCTTCCTGTATAAAAAGGCACCTCTATGTATGTATGTATGTGTGTGTGTGTGTTTGTATGTGTGTATGTATGCGTACATGCGTGTATGTTATTTCCTGTTATAATCAGGGAGCAACAGATGGAGGCAGTGTGGTACCAGTACATAAGCACTAAATCCACAGGCCATTTTAGGTCAGATGGATGAGTCAGTCTTCCATCCTTGGCTGCTCTTAGCTTACATTTGGGACAAAAAAAAAAAAACTCAAGGAAGTCATGTAAGATATATAATTATGAATGGAGGAGAAACCTTATGGTTTTAATAAAAATGCACAATAGATAAGAGATAAAGCCATTTTATTGATTCACTTAAAATGGAGAGAGTAGAAAGAGAACAAATTACTTAATTGTAATCATATGAAACATTTCACAAAAGGAAGATGGATTTAGGCACGAGTGCATGTTTAAGGATTACAATAGGCAAGCTTATGGATTATTTGCATCAAGCATTATGGAATTAAAATGAATGTTATTTTGATTCTACAGGTTATATTTGCAGGCATACTATCTTAGCACTGAAATAACTGCATTTCTTAAACTTGATCACTTTACTGGGAGATTTCGGCAGAAGAGCTTGATCGATGACTCGCTCCTTGATGGGCCTTAGAATGATGCTGTTACTTTTCTGCCCTTCAGGGGCTGGGGTGGCCGGTGGTTACTCAGAACTGGAACAGCTGGCTCTCCCTCTGCACTTGACAGGAGGCTACGGAGCTGGGCCAGCTGTGAGGGTGAGATATTGCAAGGATGAGAAGCTGTTAAAGCCCCAGAAAGCATTTTGTTTACACTGAAGTCAACGTACTGTTGGTTAGAAAACAGTTGAGGATGGTGATGGTTTTCTTAGTGGGAAGGGAGGAGACTGCACTCCTTTTCCTGCCTCTGCACAAGATATTTTGCCTAAATGAGGGGTAGTTGGCTCTGTTAGAACATAAGCTTTCAGGCAGGAGAGATGGCTCTAGGTTAAGAACAGTGGCTGTTCTAAAGGTCCTGAGTTCAATTCCCAGCAACCACATCGTGGCTCATAACCATCTGTAGTGAGATCTGGTGCCCTTTTCTGGTTTGCAGGCACACATGCAGGCAGAATGCTATATAAATAATAAATAAAGAGCATAAGGTTTCTCTTTGTTAGCTGGGAGTTTGTCTAAGTGATACGTCAGCTCAGCAGTGCTTAATTCCATATATTATCCCCCTTTTGGGACAGTTGTTAACATTAAATGTGTTAACCAAGGAATGGGCCTATCTATTGCTCTGTGCACCATGGCTTTTCTCGTCAAACATCAGTTAACACCAATGTACAGTGCTGTGAGAAACACAAAGCAGCTCAGGAAAGCAGCTCTTTCATCTGTCAGCAGCAGCATCTTTAGAAACAGAAAGTGAGAAGGTACTTTGTTGGGTATTCAGAAACTTCAACTAGAAAAAAACCAAGCTATTTTCCCACTGTTAGGTTAGGCCCCCTGAGAGATATGGTGGAAGTTAAAAGGAGAGTTCACTGTCCATTTCTGACATTCTATGCCACCTAACAAGTTTCTTTATAAAGAAGGAGGAAATGGGAAGCTCATGTGTTTACTTTCTGCATAAAGTAAAAACAGTTATTGCATGGCTTTCATTATTAAAAAAAAAAAAACAAAAAACAAAACGCAACTCAGGGATCCTTCACTAGAAGCAAATACACGTTAGCTGATACCTGTTCCGGGCTGACACTGATGCTGTCCTTGCAGATGAACCAGGTCACACTTTCATGAAGAGGAGGGTGAGTCAGGGAGCCAAAGTAGGTCCAGTAGTCCAGGGATGAAGGCAGGAGACAGGATGGGTCAAAATTTGTGAATGGAGCTCGTTTTCCCTGAAAAAAAAAAAAAAAAAAAGCAGTATGTGTCAAGGTATAGAATTGATCATACATGTGACAATGTATATATCTAATGTATATATATTTTAGCTGCAGTAATTGATTTTTCTACTCTACTCATTTAATGACAGGTATGTTTGTGAATATGAACAATATAAATGACAGAAAATTCTATCTGAAAGTTTTAAACATTAAACTTCCTCTTTCTTTGATGGATGAAGAGTAAAAGCTAAAACTTTTCCATAATTCATATTTATCAAAAGACACTTCATTTTCATTAGGAAACATTTTAATTTGTTTAAACAATGCTATACTTGTTCTAGAGGCAAAGGCATTCACCAGCAAGCCCATCAGTATGTTTTACTCTTATTTATTCCTATGAGTGTTCCCGATTGCTTGTTTTCTCTACACAGAAATTGAACTGATATTTGTATATTATTTTTTTATATATGATTAGTTTTATCGGATTTTTTTTTTCAATTTCAGTTTTTAGTTGGTTCTCTTGAATTTCCCAGGTATACACAGCTAACATATCATCTGCACATAATAGTTTTGTCTTTGCTTTCCCTGTACTTAATTGTTCTTTGTTGAATGGTTAAAGTTTTAATTATAATGTTAATGTGACTGTGGTAGAAACTGCACTGTTCTTTTTCTTGATTGCAGCAAACAGTTTCAGTTGGAGAAGCGGATAAAATGAATTTTCATTTTTAACCTGATAGTATAACGCATCTACTCATGTAAGCATGCCATCTGCATGCTTACAGAATGAACTCTACTTGTTCAAAAATATGAATTTATCAATATGTTGTTGCAATTGTTTTGTTATAATTTTCAGGGTTATTTCAGCCATGTTACTAGGAAAGATTATAATGCAAATTTCTTTTTGCAGTCTCTTCACCCAGTGTGTGCACTGGATATCATTAAGCTGATGAGGAGTTTTGTGCCTGTTCCTCACATGCGCAAATGTTTAGTTGACACTACAGGAGTGCTCCTTTCTCTTTTTTTGGAATTTGGTAATTTTTGCATGTTTACCTGTGTGTGGTTTGTGTGCATGTGAGTATGTGTACTCGTTCACATGTGCAGGCCTCTGTGCGGGTGTGTGAGTATGTATGTAAAGGCCTGAGGCTGCTGTTATTTTAACAAAGGACTCAGTTGACTCCAGAGCTCTCAGATAAGACTAGTCTAGTTAGGCAGCTGGCTCCAGCAATTCCCCATCTCTTTTTTCCAAACTCTAGAATTATAGCTAATACACCATGCACACCTGGCATTTTAGTGGGTTCTGAATTATGAATTTGGGTCATTATACTTACAGGGCAAATGTTTTATCTGTTGAGCCATCTGCTTCCCTAGACTCACTTGGTTGTTTCCTAAAGGCTGAGTAAACTTTTTTATAATTTGGGCTGCTCATAGAATTTTGTTTACTAGACACATTTTTTTTTTTTTACTGTGATTTCAATTTATTCTTACAGTTTTGGACTGTTTGGTTTTTCTTTTGGGTCATTTTTATTATCTTATGTTTTTATGGTTATCACTCATTTTGTCTAACTTTCCAGATTTACTGGTGTACTGTTATAAGTAGTTCTTGCTTCAGAATTCTATTTTCACATATACACCATATTTTCTAAGCCTCTAGGAGAATTTCTTCCACTTGTTAATTAATTTATTTACATGTCTCTCTGGGCATATGCGTTCGCACTAGTATGTGGAGGACGGAGGACAACCTATAGGAACTGGTTTGTATCCTTCTACTCTGCAGCTTCTAGGAGCTCAAGCAATCACTGTCACCCTCTGTATCATCTTACCAGTACCTCCAATAGCATTTGACCTTGGGCCAGCTTCCTTTGCCAGAGCTCCTTAAATTATTTTTTGTTGCTGTTTATTCCATAAAATCTATTTTTCACTTATTGCTAGAGTAATATTTTATATTTGTCATTTTGTTTCTTATCTTACTATTTTAGACTTTTATCCTCACTATTTCCTTTTATTTTTATTTTATATATTTTTGATACTCTTGAGTAGAGTGTGAAAAATATTCCTTCTCTCACTTTATAATATGCTCACTCAAAGTTTATTTTTTCATAAACTCAGTGCAAAATAAACTTATTTTACATAAAAATACAATAGCCTTCTACACCGTGGAAGAACATGATAAATCACCTTGACCTTTGGTCTAAGGAGATGATGTTAAAACAGTGATGCTAAGGATGGGCATCTCAGAAAGTCCACTAAGGGTTTTGAGTTTAGTTCTGAATCACAGTTCTCAAATAGGTCTCTTCCTCCCCATATTTTTTTGCTTTACTAAAGAAATTAAGATGTTTTTCTTCATGAAAGAGAAAGCTATCGCTAGAGTATGATCAGTATTCAACAGATCTAAGAATGACTGAGGAATATACTTTACTGAAAGGTACAAGCACCATGAAAACAAGGCAGAGCCAACTCCTATATCAGGTTCTCCAGTGCAAGCGGAGTCTCCATGGCACCTTGTGGCTGATGGCATCTACACCTGCCTTCATGTTTCCCCTTTCAAACAGGCAACTGTTTCTGCACTTCTGTGTGTTCTTGTTCTCAGAGTTAAATTAGCTTATTTAGCTTATTTACCTTAGTTTTAACTGAGTTTATGGCATCAAGAACTTTCTGCAGGTTTGGGTTGGCTGGACCAACCTGGAGGATCAAAGGAAAAAGAAAGTATGAGATGGAGATGATTTATAAAATTTAGTCAAAATTTGATCTTTCAGTTGACATCAATAATTGAAGAGAGAATAATGAGATTTCTTTCTACCCCAAGAGAGGAAATTTTCTGAGGCATGAACCTTTGTGAAATCTTCTACTGTGCAAATTTCTCATCATGTATAATCACAGACAAAATAGTAAACAGAAAATATGGCTTAATTTAATTTAGCATGGTAAATTTAATTGTGAACAAAATGGTCAAACCTATGCAAGACAAATTCTATATGTTTATCAAAACTATGTCACAAAACTACACCTTCATTTTCTCTGCTTTGTTAGTTATTTAATGCATTTTTGCTATATTCTGAATAAGCATTTGATAATAGTCATCTCCAAATACGTAATCTCAAAAGTCACTTAGTCACCCAGTCTAACCCAATGTAATGATGATTTTCCTCAGAGCATCTCTACAATGACAGTATAAATTTAAGTGATAATAAGTTCCATAACATCCACTCTTTTAAAAATCAAGTGATATTTAGAGTGGTGTAACTACCCACGACTCACCTTCATGAAAACACCAAGGATTGCCAGCCCATCAGCCTTTGAGATGGCTTCAGCAGCGCTGGAGTACTTGGCAGAATTCCAGTGAACTAGGTGAAGCTAGAAGTGATGACATAAGTAATTCACTATTACTATTGATGCATAGGAAAAGCTGGGAGATGAATTAGGTGTTAATTTGTTACATTTGAAGACATATCTTGGTGCAGGCAAATAAAATTCATGTGACCTCTAATCCAGTGGGTAGCTAACTTTAGGATAAAAGGTGAAATCATTTTCTCTCACTGTGAGGTAACTTTGTAAGAAACCCCGTGGCCAGTTGGAAGCTTGGGCATATCAGTGTCCTTCCCAGAATCCTCTCAGTCAAATTCTGCAGCCTAAACTCATGGTGGAGTTTTAGACTCGTACATCCACGTGTGCCTGCATGTGTTCCTGATACTGTCTGGAGATCTCCATAAGAGTGTCTAACAGGTATCTTAAGAGTCCATGGCAAAAGGAAAGCTCAACTTGTCATGTCACATCTGTCATTCTCTCCTCTTTGAAAAGGTGACACTGCATTCCTACCTGTTCAATCAAAAGCACCGCATTTACCACAGATCTCATACTTTAGACTTTGTTGGCCTCCATGCCCAGCAGAGTAGATGTCTCCTCATCTGTTCATAGCTTGGGTTTTTGTATTAGCTGCTGAGTTCCTAGAATTACCTTCCTTTGGCTCTACAGTTAGGTCTGAATTCAAATGCCATACCTCAAATAAATTAATTACCCAACTACCTTAACTCACATCTATTTTTTTTCATAACATTTGTCTGATCTCTTCTTTCCCTCTTCTCCCTCTTTTTCCTTCTTCTCTTTCCTTCCTCTCCTTTTTTAAAACCTTTTCTTTCCCCTATGAAATAAAGATTATGACTCAGTTACTTTGAAAATAAAAACTTAGTATATCATAAAGAGTCAATAAATAGTTGATTAATAAAAGAGAGCAACTAGAACACTTATTTTAAGTGAGATCACTCTGCAGTCCTAATTTAAGTGTGGTTTCATTGTCATTTATTCTTCCCATTCACTGACAACTCTTTTAGGCACTCACTCTGCCACTGAGTACTCTTTACTTAATCCCTGCCATTGGTTCTTGTGTTTTCCCCTCTGCGCATGTAATGTAACTGAACACTTGCAATGTGAAAGCTGGCCTACATGTGCCTTGTATGTATTTTCTCAGTAAGTGTATGGGAGATTAATGCTTTCGAACTTAATTCTATAGATGAGAAGAGTTACACAAGCAGTCAACGGCTCAGCTTTGACTCCACGAAGGTCAAGGGAGGAGCACGCATATGTACACCATTACTTGCACTATTTCTTGAACCTGGTGTATTCTACACAGGTTTTTGAGCTAAATAGTAAGTAATGTTGGACTTTCTAATAAGTCATTTAGATTATTTTTTATCAACTTAGTTGAGTGAATATAATTCCTAATTACAACTATCCTTGATTACAACTATCCTTCCTAAAACATAATACTTAGGCTTCCATTCCACTTTAGTCCAACTTTTGTTTTGTAGAAAGGAAACTAGGAATGAGTTTTTATAGACTTCCACAACACTGTAAGGTATTATCTAAACTTTAGAAGTAAAACAAAATAAGTTGTATCTGTATTTAATCCCCTAGCATCTAATTCTATCACAACAAACTGTATATATTTTAAAACTTCTCTGAAAAATCTCTTACGTATTTACTTCCATTGTTGCTATAGATGTAGCACAATGTATTAATAGAAGCATTTTGGATAAAAACAAAACAACAATGAAACTCACAATGGAATATAATAAGCCAATGTAAATATACATCAAAAGATTAGTTAAATAAATTCTGATATTCAAATTTAAACAAATAAAAATATTAAGCAGTAATTTTTAAAAGATGTAGAATTAAGTCTTCTTACTTGGAGAATGATAACACATTGGTAAGTGGAATAAAGCAAGTTTCAAAATCATATCTATTATAAAGTTTAGTTTACCAAAGTAAAACAGAAAAGGCCATCTCATCTATATGTAGTCATACTTATGAACACATATTATATATATATATTTACTATTTCATCTTTTAAATATCTGCCTCAAAGGTGAAACTTTTTAATTTGTTTTATGTGTGTTCAGTTATTCAAAGAAAATATAAATATAATGTCTGGAAATAGACCACAAATTCTCCTGGGAGGGAAGATTAACAAGAGGTGGGAGATAACGACCTATAGCCAGGGACTCTTTGAAGCTGGCCTAGGCGTGGGCTCTTCCTTGCAACCATTAAATCCCTGCTCTGATTAAAACCCAGGGCCTTCTACTGTTATTTCAGGGCTCTTGTCTGGACATATATATCCTACTGGTGTGTCCAAATCTGAAACATTAAGTAAAAAGAGACACAATGGGATGTCTATTTCAGACAATATTAAAAAATGTCTTAAAGAACAATCCTTAAGCTGGAAAAATATCAAAGTTTCCCTCAACTCTCATCTATAAGTTAAGGTGTTTCTTTCCATAGAAACATATTCCTCTATTGCAAAATATGGTGTTTGATTGTAATGGATTTAAGGATCCATATAAAGACCAGTGTATTCTTTCCTTTGAGGCATTCTGAAAGTAGCTTCTTCAGTACCAGAGATGCTGCTCAGGCACTCTCATGAACTATCTCTCATGAATATATTGCATTACCTCTCCCGAATATTTGATTCCATCCACAGTATGCTCAGAGCCATGGTCATTGGAGTTGCCCCAGTGAAAATGGAACTGGGTGAGGCGATAGTTCTCAGAGAGAGGGCCACCTTTCAGAACTGGAGGGATAAACAAGTACTGTCAGCCAGATGATCTCTAGTTCATCTTTGAAATAAACCAGTGCAACACTGTTTTGAATGAAATGGAAACACCAGAGTGTGGCAAAATTATGTTTTCATTATGTTTCCCCACTCCACATCCCTGATAATGACACTCATATATAGTGCCTTCCTGATGGCATCAGTAGCTCATGATATATATATGCACATTCCAGAGAAGGTACCACAAATTTACCTATTTATGTTACGAAGATGGCATTTAAAAGTGAATAAGTTATATGATCACAGGACTTTCCTTGGGGCTGCATTAACTTTCAAGTTTATTCATTCAATAAACCATACTGCATGGATAGTATGTATCAGAGTTGAGGGTAATTTCTATTAACTAAAAGTTTCCCATCACACAGCTTTATATAATTAATAAAGATATAACAATGTAGTTTGAAAAATTTGTTGAGACCTTCTTGGCCAGGGGCCAAGAACTACTGCCTGTGGGGCAAAGTCACTTTAAAATTTTTGGTCTGAATGACAGCCTAGGTGGGGAGTTTGTCCAGTCATATGATTATTTAAGTAACCACAACACCAGACCTAACCTATTGCTAACAACAGGCACTCCCCTAAAGTACCTAACATTTAAAATTAGAAAGTTGTAGGGAAGTACAGCAAGCATTGAATTTTTACCACCAGAACACTCGCAGAGTGATTGCTTAACAGCTTATTCAATAAATACTGATGAAAGGCTGACCATGTGGCAAGCAGAATGCCAGATTCTAGGGTATGCAGAATACTTGTACACCCCTGTCTCCTCTTTGAGCGAATTCTCATTCTGTTTAGAATATTTGCCTTTTTGTTTTTATGCTCACAGTGATTTGCTCATTAGGCTCTTTTGGAGAAATGTTGCTTATTTAAATAAATGAGCCCAAAGATCCCAGAATGGCCATGCTAGTGGTAAAACGGCTCATTAAGAAGGAGAAGGATTGAGAGAAAGCAGAGAAGGGAGCTCTGTAAGCTGTCTTCCAAGTGGCCACGATGCCTCCCATACTTGTCAGTTTTGAGTCCCACAAATACAAGTGTACAATACACAGGAGGCTGTGGTGTTTCAGAAGCCACTCTGACTCCTTTGCCTGTTCTTGGGACTCTTTTTCTCCTATTGGGTTGCCCTTTTCAGCCTCAATATGAAAACTTTTGCCTTGTATTATTGTATCCCATTTGTTTTTTTGTCTTTTAGAGGCCTGCTCTTTTCTGAAGGGAAGTGGACAGGGAGTAGATTTGGAGGAGAGGGGATGGTAGAGAGGTTCTGGGAGGAACTAATGGTTTATTTGTTGTATTTGGCAATATCAATAGTACAGGCCTATTTATGCTGTTTATATAAGTCTAGAAATAGTATGTACATCAGATATACCCCCAAACCAACTATTAAAAATATATACAAGAATATTATATTAATTCAAAGATGACCCAAACCAATAACCTGTTCTGGGAGGGGAAAGTGTGGTCAGAATGTATTGTATAAGAAGAAAATCTATGTTCAATAAAAAATAAATTCACTTAGCAGATTCTAAAGAAACAAGTAGCATATATGTCTTTGGGCTCACCAGATTGGTTACTGCTGTCATCAAAAACTACATGGAAGGAATGTCCCACGTTAATAATTTCTTTGGCAGTTGCAGGATTATAGGAGATGCTGATAGGTTTCAGAGAGGTGTCATGTTTGGCCTCACTGGTTTTGATATCAATAGGAGACTGGTTGTTTCCATTGGCAATGGGATACAGCTTGCTCCATTGATCAGGACCTATAAGAACAAACATGTTTATGTAACCACAATTTTACAGAGTGCTTCATTCCAAGTATCAGAAATTCAACTAACTGTTTCTTATTAGATTATGGTTTATTTAGATATCTTAAATGGCATTTGGTGCCTGAAAATGTAGCTTTTGTTACTATATCAGTAAACAGTATAATTGGCAATATCAATAATACAGGCCTAATTATGCTTTCTATATGATTATCGTGTAGAAATAGTATGTACATACAAGATACACTTTCTAGACCTTCATGTCCAAAAATCGATTACTAAAAATGAATACAAGAATATTACACTTATTCAAAAGTGACTCAAACCATTAACCTGTGGCTATATAGTAAAGTTAAATGATAAATACATCCTCTGATAGGAAAGGGAAAAAGTTATTATTTTGATATATGAAAAGAAGTACTCTTACCATTTTTGCCATCATATCCCCAGTCTGCACCTGCCATGATTTAGTTTTCGTTTCTGAAAAGAGAAATGATACGTGGAATAACTAACTGCACCTCTGGGTGAAGCAGAGATCTTAAGTGACACCGTAGGTTTTTATAGAAGCTCTCTGCCTGTAATAGTCCACTGTTCCATCATCTTTGCTTATCAGGAAGTACACACCAAATGGTATTGTGAAATAAAATGGTATTGTAAAAAAATTTCTATCAGGGTTAGGTCAGCTTATGATGATTTTATTTTATTGTAGTATAAAAATGAAATATCAGAATCATAGATGTTATTAAACTAGTATTGTTCTTCTGTGCTTGTGAAAGACATGAATGAATATTGACCAAAGCTTATCAAATATCATAGAATAAAAGCTCTCTGTGCACTTAGGACTTGTAGTGATACTGTAACTGGGTAAATAAGCAATGTTACAATAGTAATATAATGAGGAAATGAATTTGCATGGTTATGGGCTGAACTGAATGAGTATCATGATGTTAATTTAGAATCATGTAATAGAACCAGTAATTAATTATCTGTAACACAGTATTATTATTCATAATTATACCTTTTATAGAAGCACAAATACACTTTATAGATGACTTCCAAACAACTTGTCAATGTGAGATTTTCTTCCAGTGTAAACTCTTAGAACAATAATAACCAGTTAGAAGATATTGAAATTCAATATTAGAAATATTGAAATTCATAAATGGGGAGATTGTATTAATATCAAAGTTGAATATATCAGAATGTTTTTGAACCTAGAATAAAATATGCCCTGTTTATAGTTTTCTGCAGTTTATGCAGCACTTTCCTGTTGTTTTATTTTACTACCACACATAAAAATCGTATAAATAAGAATCATCATTTTGTAGCTGAAGGAAGTTGAAGGATTCATCACAACTAACAAGGCAGCAAAAATTGAAATCATTTAGTACACAGAACTCTTTTCTAGCCTGCACTGCTACCTTGTAGCATGAATATACTGTGAACTAGTTCTTATTAATGGGAAAAGGCTAGCACCCTTGAAAGTTCTTGATATTACAAAGTAGAGAATTCTCTAGGAAAATTTACTCACGTGATTCTGTGTTGCTATTCTAAAAAGTGCAGATCCCAGGGTCGCAGCCTCTGCTTCACCTGCTGCTTTCACTATGCCACTGCAAGTGCTACCCTTAGTGCAGCATGGGCTCATAGTCTCTAATTTTCTTCTGGGACCACAATGCTCAGTAAGCTCAGTCTGAGTATTCGCCAAGGTGAGAACTCACCTTGTTCACTCACTCAGGCATCGCTGAGTGGTGAGATGCTGTAAGACACTTTCCAGGGAGGCAAAGGAGGCTGACTGGGATGTATCAAAATTTGGCTAAGCCTTTCCTTTCGAGTCTTTCAATAACATTCTTTAGAAATAACAACAGAACCAGAAGCTTCTGAAATAATGAGCTCATTTCTTCCATTCACTGCAGAACTGGTCTGCTGCAATCCATGAAGGAAGATGGGTCAGGAGACATGTTTCCCAGGCCCACAAGTTATGCTGTTGCTCCGAAATACTGATGACTGTGTCCTGCCTCATGAGCAAATTGGCCAGCAACTCATGAATACCCAGGACATGAGGAGGCCACAGTTTCCGTCCTATAGCATTAGTGAGCATCAAGAGGCACTGCTTGAAAAAGAACTTATTTGTCTTTAAATTTTATTTTATTTTTTAGTCTTATGGACAACACTATGTATTTTTCACATACAACATGATGTTTCTAAGTAGACATGCTTTATGAAATAAGTTAAGCGAGTGATCACATTACCTACAGTTGTTTTGTAAATCAATGTCCACTCTCTTGTCATTTTTAAGACTACAATCCATCACCAAAACTATAGTCACCTTGCTCTACAACTAAGGACCAAGTATGGGGAGGACCTAGATTCCCTGCTCAGATGTAGCCTATGGGTATCTCAGTCTCCATGTGAGTTTCCTAGGAAGGGAACAGGAACTGTCTCTGACATGGACTCAGTGGCTGGCTCTTTGGTCACCTCCCCCTGGTAAGGTGGCCTAACTAGGCCACCGAGAAAGAGGATTCAGACAGTCCTGATGAGACCTGATAGGCTAGGGTCAGACAGTAGGGGCAGCTCCTATCAGTGGATTAGGAGAGAGACACAGAGGGGAATAGGGAGGGAGGGTGTGACTGGGAAGAGATGAAGGAGGGGGCTACAGCTGGAACAAAAAGTGAATAAATTGTAATAAATAATAATAATAAAGAAAAAAGGAACATTTGAGAGCCTGATTTAAAAAAAAATACAATTCCTATCTAACTGTAATTAACCATCTTTTGGTCATCTCTTTGAAGCTTAAATTAAACTACTATATTAATCAACATATTTGTAAAGAAACAGCATTTTTTGTATCATTATATGATGATTCTGTATAGGAATGACTTAACATTTATATGGCATGGTAATTCATTTAAAGTTTTAGGGGCAAAACTGCTTTGACTCCACCTCATGACCCTTTATTTTATTATGTACTCAGGTCATGTTAAAGTATTCCTACAAGGAAAGAATTAAAGGCAAAGTTGTAAAATTTAATAAGGGTTCAACCCTAACACTATTTCCACTTACCTTTATTCATTATTTTCTTCTCATAAACTGACGCTATCATTTTTGTGTCTAAGCCAAAGGCAAGATGTTGATTTTTCATCCATTGGATTTTGTCCCATAGACCGCTTCCATTATACTTCCCAAGGGTTACAACCTTTGCATTACTTTTGCCTTCTAAGAAGATGCTCAATCTATACAGCCTTTGCTCTTCTAAACAGCTTGTTTCCTGAAACCATTAAAAGTACACATGGAAGAAAGCATTTTGCTTTTTCCAATAGACTGTTCTGAAGAAAGCCATACACTCCTAAAACTTAATAATACATCAATTAGGTTAATGGAACAAAACTTGCACTTAGAAAAACAATGCAGAATCACGTAAGCAATTTTTCCTAGAAAGTTGCCTGATTGATAATATTAAGAACTTTCAAGAGTGCTAAAATGTTCCCTTTGATAAGAACTAGCTCACAGTATATTCATGCTGCAGGATAGTACTGGAGACAAGAAAAGAATACTGTTTATTGAAGGATTTCAATATCTTGGGGCCTTTAAAATAGTGATTTCATTCAGTCTTCATAGCATACCTTAGGAGTTAGGAGGATATCAACTTTTGTTTTTACTGATTTTGTAGTGCTGAGCATTGGCCTGTGAACTCATTTGTGTTAAGAAAGTTCTTTTTTTTACCAATTTGCAATCCTCTGCCTGCTTTGTTATTTCGTTATTTTAATTTTCAGATAGGGTTCACTAAGTTGTTCAGTATGTTTTGAACTCATTGCATAACCCAGTCAGGCCTTGGACTTGTGGCCTTCTTCGCTATATGAGGAGCTGAAATGATAGCCCTGTATCATAGGTCTGGCTCATTCAAGAAACAGGGCCAGCATTTGAATTAGTTTCTGATTATGCCCACAGTCCAGGTCTGTTTTATCTTGTTGGTTACATAAGGGCATCATCTTTACCAGATGTAATAAGACATTTACTTGAAGGAAAATTCACAGGTTGTTACATTATTTCTTGAATAATATCACTCTGTTGGGTTTTTTTTTTAATCTTTATAATAATGATCGAATTCAATCTACAGAACAGAGTTAACCTAGGAGTTAGGTTTCACTAATTAATTTAAAGAAAACATTTTTTAATATCCGAAAACATAAATTCATCTATTGCTCTTTACATTCCAAACTAGAATAGCCACAGATTAGGACAGTTGGTATTATCCTCCCAATCAGTGTAAGTATTTTAAAAAAGAAAAAAGATGGATGTGTTTTCTCAAAAAGTAATTCTTTCCAATTAATATCCAGTCCCCTCTATGGCAAACACATTTTCTATCCTGCAGGTCAAAACATAAGATGTGTCAGAGAATAGAACTGGAAATAGGAGAAAACAATTCTGAAAGCAGATATGCAGCCTTCCATAGACTTGGTTATAAAGATGACACCTGGCACTCAGAGAGGCAAGCTTAGGAAATCTTATTTATCTATTATTATGTTTGGATTTAAAGTTTGCTTCTCAGATGAGCATCCATCTATTTTCTCTTTTTTTAATTAATTTATTTTTTATTAATTACAATTTATTCATTATCCCAGCTGTAGCCCCCTCCTTCGTCCTCTCCCAACCCCACCATTCCTACCTTATCTCTTCCTATGCCCCTCCCCGAGTCCACTGACAGGGGAGGTCCTCCTTTTCTTCCATCTGACCTTAGTTTATTAGGTCTCATCAAGAGTGGCTGCATTGTCTTCCTCTGTGGCCTGGCAAGGCTGCTCCCCCATTAGGGGGAGGTGATCAGAGAGCCAGCCACTGAGTTCCTGTCAGAGACAATCCCTGTTCCCCTTACTAGGGAACCCTCTTGGACCCTGAGCTTCGATGAACTACATCTGAGCAGGGGTTCTAGATTATCTCCATGCATGGTCCTTGGTTGGAGTATCAGTCTCAGAAATGACCTCGGTACCCAGCTTTTTTGGTTCTGTTGCTGTCTTTGTGGATCTCCTGTCCCCTCCAGGTCTTTCTATCTCTCCTTTCTTTCATAAGATTCCCTGCACTCTGCTCAAAGTTTGGCTGAGTCTCAGCATTTGCTCTGAAAACATTTTTTTAAACCAACATCATTTAATGTTTTACCAGATCTTAGACTTGTTTATTACCTATTTTTAAATGATACTAAAGTGATTTTTAGAATTTTTTATTCTATTTTTTTCTAGCTCCTTAGATGAATGTTTACCTCTGGTTTTTACTTTGATGTTTTAAAAGTAAACCACAGACTGAGTAGTTAAATATGCTGAAATGAGCATTAAATTTACGTTAGTAAGTAGAAATGATTCGTTGATGTGGAAGGAATAAAAAGGATAAGGAGTATCGTGCTTAGCTATTGCCGTGATCTATCAAATGCCACTTGGAAGAAAAATACAGATTTCAATGGGACCTAACTCCAGAAGACAACTGCTTTTCTAAAGTGT